TGTGTGTGTGTGTGTGTGTGTGTGTGTGTGTGTGTGTGTGTGTGTGTGTTTATTCTAGGTTACCTGCTAACTTAGAGAACAAAAACTATTGTTTCTTTTATGTATTTATTTTTCTTCTGATCTAATACTTCATTGGAAGCTGGCAGTCTCTTGGTGTGATTTTTTTCTTCTCTCCAGCCTTCACATATGACATTCCCTCTGCTATTCCTTTTCTTCAACATCCTGAATTAATAGATAATGAAGCATGTGTCAAGATTAAATAAAATTACTTGGTAAACATAATAATTCTCATTGGATCTTTCAATGTTATCTTGATATACAATGTAAGATGTTGGTCTCTAACTAGTTTTTGCCATACTGTTTCCCAGTTTTCCCAGAAATTTTTGTGAAATAGTGAGTTCTTGTCTCAGAAGCTGGGTTCTTTGGGTTTATCAAACTTTAGATAACTGTGGTTATTTATTTACTACTTAGTCTTATGTACCTAATCTATTCCACTGCTACACCAATCTATTTCTTAGCCAGTACCAGATAGTTTTGATGATTACTTCTTTATTATAGTTTGAAATCTGGTGTGGCTAGGTCACCTTCCTTCTCATTTTTTTTCATTAATTCCCTTGATATTCTTGACCTTTTGTTCTTCCAGATGAATTTTGATAATAGTTTTTCTAGCTCTGTAAAATAAATATTTGATAGGTTGATTTGGTGTGGCACTAAAGGAGTAGATTAATTTAGGTGGAATTGTCATCTTTTTTTTATTGACTCCATCTATCCATGAGCAACTAATATTATTTCCAACTGTTTAGATCTGAATTTATATGTGTGAAAAGTTTTATAATTGTGTACCAATAGTTCCTGGATTTGTCTTGGCAGGTAGACTCCCAAATATTTTATGTTGTCCAGTTATTATAAATGAAATTTCTGTTTTTGTCTCTTGCTACTGGATTTTTTTGGGTAATATATAGAAATGTTGATGATTTATGTGGGTTTATTTTATATCCTGCAACTTTGCTGAAGTTAATTATTTCAACTAGTTTTTTAATTGATTCTCTAGGGTTCTCTAAGTATACCATCTTATCATCTGCAAAGAGTGGTAGTTTTTCTTTTCTCATTGCCTATTTTAATTCTTTTTCTTTTCTTACTGGTATAGCTAGCATTTCTAGTATAATATTGAATAATAGTGGTGATAATGGGTATTCTTGTTTCACACCTGATCTTATTGGGAAGACTTCAAGGTTATCCTTGAATGATTACTAATGGTTTTAGATAGTTTCTACTTATCATTTAAGGAAAGCTCCATTTATTCTCATGCTCTCTAATGTTTTTAGTAGGAATGGGTATTGTATTTTGTCAAAAGCTTTTTTGGCATCTGTTGAGATAATCATGATTTCTGTTAGTTTTGTTACTGATATGGTCAGTTATGCTGATAGTTTTCCTAATATTGAACCAGCCTTGTATTCCTGGTATAAAACCCACCTGGTCATAGTGTGTGGTCCTTGTGATATATTGATAGTATTTTGTTTAAATTTTTTTTCATCAATATTCATTGTGGAAATGGGTCTATAATTTTCTTTCTCTTTTTCTGCTCTTCCTGATATAGCTATCAGCATCATATTTGTGCTGTAAAAGGAATTTGGTAGGACTCCTCCTTTGCCTGTTTTTCCAAATAATTTATATTGTATTGAAATTAATTGTTCCTTAAATGTTTGATAGAATTCACTTGTGAATTCTGGTCCTGGATATTTTTTTCTGTTCATTAATGGCTTGTTCAGTTTCTTTTTCTAAGATGAGATTATTTAAGTATTCTATTTTCTCTTTTGTTAATCTTCATATTTATATTTTTGTAAATATTCATCCATTTCACTTAGATTGTCAAATTCATTAGCATACAATTGGCTAAAACAACTCATAATTATTGTGTTGATTTCCTCTTTATTTTTGGTGGGTTTATCTTTTTTATTTTAGATGCTGGTAATTTGGTTTTCTAATTTTTTTTAATCAAAATAACCAATGATTTATCTGTTCAATGGTTCCTTTCAATTTTATTAGTTCTCATTTGATTTTCAGGATTTCTAATTTGGTGTTTAAATCTCTCTTTCTGTAGCCCTTTATTAAATGTAATTTTTATTACATCATGATCTGAAAAGGATGTATTTAATATTTCTGTCTTTCTGCATTTGCTTTTTTGCCGTATACATGGTCAATTTTGTATAGGTTTCATGTATTGTTGAAAAAAAGATATATTCCTTTCCATTCCCATTGACTTTCCTCCAGAGGTCTGTCATATCTCACTTTCTAAAATTCTTTTCACCTCCTTAACTTCTCTCATTTTTTTTGTTAGATTTATCTAGTTCTGAATGCAGAAAGTTGAAGTTCCCTACTAGTATAGTTTTGCTCTCTATTTTCTCTTGTAACTAATTTAATTTCTCCTTTAGAAATTTGGATTCTATACCATTTGATATTACTTCATTATCTATCCTTTTAGCAAGATGTGATTTCCTTCCTTGTCTCTTTTAATTATATCTGTTTTTGCTTTTGCTTTGTCTAAGATCATGATTGTTACCTCTGCTTTTTTAACTTAAGCTGAAGCACAATATATTCTACTCCAGCCTTTTACCTTCATTATGTGTATGTCTCTGCTTTAAATGTGTTTCTTGCAAACAACAGGATTCTGATTTTCAATCCACTTTGCTATTTGTTTCCATTTTATGGGTGACTTCATCCCATTCACGTTCACAATTATGATTACTAACTCTATATTTCCCTTCGTTTTCCTCTTCCCATATTTATACCTCACTCTCTTCTCTCTCCGCCCCTCCCTCCCTCTCCTCCTCTCTGTCCCTCCTCACCAGTTTTTTCCTTCCACTGTTTGCCTCTTTCTGCCTTCCCTTCTATTATTACTGTCCTCCCTGCTTCCTTGTCCTCTGTCTACATCCCTTTAAAGTAAGATAAATTTCTGTACCCAAATGAATCTATGTGTTATTCCTTCATAGAGCCACGTCTGTTGAGAGTAAGGTTCAAGCAGTGCTCACCCTCCTCTCTTTCCCTCCACTCTAATAGGTCTTTCATGCCTCTTCATATGTGATAATTTACCCCAGTCTTTCTCTCCCTTCTCTCTTCTCCCAGTGCTATCCTCTTTCTCATCCCTTAATTTTTTAATATCATCCCGTCAAAGTTAGCATGTACCTGCCCTATCTGTCTATGTATACTGCTTCTAACGGCCCTAATAACAATATAGTTATTTGAGTTACAAATCTGATCTTCCCTTGTGAGGATATAAATAGTTTAACCTTATTAACAATTCGTTTTCCTTTTCATGTTTAACTTTTTATGCTTCTCTTGATTCTTATATTTGCAAATCATATTTGTATTCAGCTTTGATCTTTCATCAGGAATGTTTGAAAGTCCTTGATTTCGTTGAATGTCCATCCCCCCCCCCCCCGAAGGATTATGCTCAGTTTTGCTGCATAGTTGGTTTTTGGCTGTAATCCAAGATCCTTTGCCTTCCAGAATATCACATACCAAGCCCTCTCATCCTGCAATGTTGAAGCTGCTAAATCCTGTGTAATTCTGAATGTGGCTCCCTAATATTTGATCAGTTTCTTCCTGGCTGCTTGCAGTATTTTCTTCGTGATCTGACAATTCAGGAATTTGGCTATAATATTCCTGAGAGTTTTCATTTTGGGTTCTCTTTCAGGAGGTCATTGATAGATTCTTTCAGTTACCATTTTGCCCCCTGCTTCTAGGATATCGAGGCAGTTTTCCTTTATAATTTTTTTGGAAGATGCTATCCATGCTTTTTTTTTTTATCATGGCTTTCAGGTAGCCCAGTAATTCTTAAATTAAATTATCTCTGACTGATCTGTTTTCCAGGTCATTTTTTCCAGTGAGATAGTTCACATTTTCATCTGTTTTTTCATTATTTTGATTTTGTTGATTGTAGTTTCTTTTTTTGTTTGTTTGCTTGTTTTTGGCCAGGCAATGGAATTAAGTGACTTACCCAAGGTCATCCAGCTAGTAAGTGTCAAATGTCTGACGCCAGATTTGAACTCAGATCCTCAGATTTGCACTTCTCTTATTATTAGTGATTTAGAACATTTTTTCTTTCAGATTTCTTCTGAAAACTGCTTAATTCATATCTTACGACCATTTATCAAATGGATACTCCCAGATTTTAGGCATTTTTATTTTTACTTCTTTAGATTTAGAAGTTCTTTTTCGTTTTGAAGGGTAAAGAATAGGGGCTGGATAGAGGCAGCTAGGTGGTACAGTAGATAGAGCCCCAACATTGGAATCAGGAGGATCTGAGTTCAAATTCAGCCTCAGACACTTGATAATTACTAGCTGTGTGACCCTGGGCAAGTCAGTTAACCCCGATTGCCTCAAAAAAAAAAAAAAAAGAATGGGGACTGGACCTATGATTTCACTGGTATGGTGAACTCTTGGGTGAGGAATCTAGTAAACTACTCAGAATGTTGCCTTGACCACAGAGAGGTTAAGTGACTTAGCTAGGGTCACATAGCCATTATGTCTTAGAAATAGGACTTGAACCCAGGTCTTCCTGATTTCAAGAAAAACTCTGTCCATAATGCTGTGCTGCATCTTTGAATGAATTATAAGGAAGATATCCTTCAGTGAAATTGGGAAATGAGAATAGATGCTGTACTTTCCTTTAATTCATTGTGCTTTTGAATGAAATCCATGAATACCCAAAGATATTGTTTTCTTGTTGGTTTATTGCATGTAAAATTAACAGATACTTTTTCTCAACAGTAATAACGTAATTGTCATAATTTTTTTTTCTTAAAATCTTAGGTGATTTAAATCGTATTAAGTGTTTAGGATTTAGAGTTCATGTTTGTTCTTTCATTGATGTTAAAAAAAAATTTACTGTTGTTAAAGACTTTGAAATTTCTAGATATGTTTCCTGATATTTTGAAGTAACTATTTACTGAAACTCATTTGAGAGTTTAAGAAGTTACAGTTGCAAAACTGCTGATACTATAACCAGATTTAGATCAGCTATTTATTTATTTATTTTTGATGAGTCTATTGGGGTTAAGTGACTTGCCCTGGGTCACACAGCTACAGAGTGTCAAGTTTGTGAGCCTGGTTTTAAACTCAGGTCCTTCAGCTGCAGGATTGGTGCTCTATCCACTGTGCCACCTTGCTGCCACTAGACCAGCTATTCTTACACTGGAGTTTATACACTCCCAAAAGATCTATGGATAGATTTTAGGGGAGTCTTACATTTCTTTTCAGTATAATTCATTTCTTTTGTAATATTATGCACTTTATTTTATGTATAAAAATGTTATTCTGAAAGGAAATATGGGTTCCAACAAACTGCCAAAGGAGTCTTTGGCATTAAAAAAAAAAAAGAAAAATAGGAAAAGATTGTTGATCAGTTTAGATCTTTTTTAAAGCCATTGGATTCATTGCAGTGATGTTGCTTTAGAAATGTGTTTGGATTGGTTGAGGAAACATGGTCACATCCTGTAGTTTATTAACTGCAGGCCATTTCAGGACCAAGGGATTTGAGGTGGGGATCAAGCTAGGAGGAAGCATTCCAGCCAAATTCTTGAGCAAGAATTTCTTCAGGAGTGAGGAGAGTGTCTTGGACTCAATCTCTTTCCTATCTAATCCCTTTCCCAGAGGAAGTCCTTGTAAGTTTTAAGGGTTCAGAAGATTTTGGATTAAGGGCATCTTCTCCAGTATTGCCTCAGTTAAGTAGCAACAGTATCTTCAAGACAGGAGCTCAGCAAAACAAGTGCACCATGTATAAGGGGAAATTAGTGAGTTCTACACAAAATGAGGGAAAAGAATTCCTGGCAACTAGGAGCTACCGTTTTGCTGCACATGTCTCTAAGTTTGAGTTCACTTTTCCCGACGCTCTGTTCTGGTATGAAAGTGTATCACAGACTTTTCAGGGGAGAAGAATGGTTTAGTATCAGTACTTCTTACTATGTCAATTTAGTAGTTACTCCTTTATAAAAACTTATTAAATTTGCCTGATTAATTGCTGTTAACTGATAATCATGTGGAGATGGCTGATGAACTATAATGTATACATACATACATAAGTATATATATGTATATATAAAACCTTAGAAGCACATCTCTCAACCCTTCAGTGGTGCCCCTAAAAGACAATTTGCAAGTGTTTATGTTAGGAATAGGATCCTTAGTGTTTACCAAAGGGCTATATATTGAGTTCAAAGGCATCGAACATGGTAGCTACACTCTAGGTTCTGGGATTACAAAAAACAAAACAAAATAAACAACAAAACCAAACTGTCAAAAATCCTAACAGTCTGTTAAGGAATAATTAGACATGTAAACATAAATATGATAGGAGATATAGTGCTAAGCACAAACTGCTGTGAGAGGAAGGGAGAAAACAAAGATTGCTTTTCCTTCAGGGCATTATAACAGAAGACTTCAGGTAGTAGATAATACCCATAGGAAGGCTTTTAGGATGAGAAGAATTTTTGCATTTTTATAAGTTACTAAAATGTAACTAAATATCACTCATTTTAACCAAGTTAGTTTTATTGTAATCCTTATTTTAAGGAGGAACACTTCTTCCCAGACTGCTTTCAGAAGAATGTAAAAAGCCATTTGGTCCCATTGGATATCAGTTTTTTAGAGTTACAGATAAAGGACCTGGGGTATAGGGTGAATATTTTTTTGGTACTGGTTACTTCGGTTATGGCGAATTGGAATTTGTAAAGGCTGCAAACAGGGTTGAGTTTGCTATCAGTGCACTTTGTCTTTCCTGCTTGTTTAAACCATTATTTTTATTATTTGTTGCTGTTGTGTTTTCTTTATACATTTTACATGACTTATGTTAGAAAGTAAGAATGAGTATTTTAGATTTATATGTTGTTTTAGTATCAAATCATTTATGCATTTGGCTAACACATAAGTGATTGATGTTTTCAGGTTCTACTTAGTTTTAATTGTAGCTGAGAAAGGAAATGATCATGTTAAAAGGAGAAAGTAGTAAGTTTAGTATAGGATTTAAACCTGGAAAAGACTGGAATCAGTCATCAAAAGAAAGGTCAAATAGAAAATCAGAAATATACTTAGGCATTAACTGGAAACAAATTAATATTTTTTTGTGCTGTCATGGGCAGAGAATAGTTGTGGTGGTGGTGGTGGTGGTGGTGGTGGTGGTGGTGATGATGATGATGATGATAGCGATAGCTAGTATCTATGCCAGACACTGTGCTAAATGATTTACAAATAATATCTCATTTGATCCTTACAACAACTCTGGGAGGTAGGTGCTGTTATTATTCTTTGAATACAGTTGAAGGAAACTGAGTCAAACAGAGATTAAGTGACTTGCTGTTAAGGTCATACAGCTAGTAAGGTTGGTTTGAGTTCTTAAAGAATAAGCCAACTTGGGTTCTTAAATTAGTGGAGTAGCTCATAGTCCTCTCTTTTTAGCCAGGCTTTTCTTTTAGTTGTTAAAATGTTTTATCTATAAACCTAAGGCAAATAAATATTCAAAAAGTGGGTTTTTGTTTTTGTCTGTATTTGGTTTTTGCTGCTGAGGTTCATAGATTTAAAGCTGAAATGAACCTTTAGAGGTTCCCTCATCAAGTCTAGCCATCAGACCTTTGGACTCCAAATCTACACAGATTTTCAAATGTTCTTGGCTTATCTAAAATAGTTACAATCATAGTTTTAGCCTTATAGTCATATTTTACATATGCTTAGTCAAAATAATTTAGATGTAATATATTTAAGTATCCAAATGTGTAATAAGTATCTTTTTATGTTACAGGATGAGCCCAGCTATCGATGGACAAGGGATGATCATCCCATAAGTAGACAGCCTGACTATAGGTAAAAAAATGAGAATAACTTCTATTAATGTAACTTCTTTCTCACCTGTTAGGTGTGTTTTATCAAGTTTCATTTTTGGTGATTAGCATCTGAATATAAATTTCAGATAGATATCTAAAATGTCTTTATTGGGGTAGTGATATTTTTTCATGCAACCAGGATTTATTATATTCTTTTTACAGACATATTTGTATACTAGTGGCAGTAGCACTGTGCAGTACATTCATGAATGTTTTCCATCACATAATGTATTTGAATAAATACATTTACTTTTTTTGTATAATCTTTATAAGAAGCTTCAAAGAAGTAGCTGATGGTCTTTTCTCTAATTGTTCATGAACAGGAACTTCTAATCATACTGTCTTCATTTGTGGTATTAAACAGAAAAAAAAATCCAAGGAATTATTTAGGTCATAGTAAAATTTTTTCATATTTTTAATCCTCTGATATGTATGTGACCTTGGAGCAAGTAGTAATGCATACCTCAGTAGACCTCAGTATCATCAGTGTACTAAGACTAAGATTTTAAATGCTTAGTTATTTAGAAAACACATTCAGAGTGAATCATTCTCCATCAGTCAGATCACTTGAAATTTTTAGAGAGAGAGAGTTGTGTTTATGATAGACATAAAGCTTGGGATATAGTATGCACTTAATTGATTGATTATTTGGTATGGGAGGTATAGTGAATAGAGTTCCAATTCTGTAGCCATAAAGACCAGGCCTAAAATCCTGTCTCTGACACATCTATGGCCCATGGAAGTTCAAAAAGTGGATTTTGGTTTTCCTCTGCAGATAATTTTAGTTTTAACCAGACGTTCATAGACTTAGAGCTAAAAGGGACATAAGATGTCATCTGATCCAATGTCCAGGCTCTTTGACTCCAAATCTAGTACAGGTTTTCAAATATGCTTGGGTTATCTAAAATAATTCCAGTCAGTCTTAGTTTACTCATAGTCATATTTTACCTTTGTTTAATCAAAATCATTTAAATGATATATGCCATCTGTGTGACTTTGGACAAGTCACTTAAATTGATCACTAGGTAACACTCTAAAACTAAAAGTTGCAAAGAAGATGCTGACCTGTATTGTTATAGGGAGTTTACTGAGGAGTTCCTACACTAATGAAACCACAGGTCCAGTCTGTATTTATATCATATCTTACGTGTGTATATGTATGCATGTATGTATAGACACATGTGGCTATATGTATATGTGTATATACATGATGAAGTCTAAGAAGATGTGTAATATTTTGTTGTTGTTGTTTTTAATGGGAAAGGAACATTTTTCTTTCCAAGTACAATAAACATATTATAACCTTTCCTAAATTTGTAATAACATTCATTCTTTTAGCATGCCTCCTGTTTGTAGACCATCAAACGAGATACTGGGTTTTCAGAGTCTATCTACCATCCCATATTCTACAAATGAGTGAAATGAAGCCCCAAGATATTGAATAACTTGCTTTAGGTTAGTAAGTATCTGTGGGGAAAAAAATCACCCCAGATGACCAAAAAGGGAAATTGAGGCAGAGCTCCAAGCCAAAACACTTTATTAAAGGGACCTGACTCACTTCAGCAAAGCAGACCCCAGACCTTCTTCTCTATCTGAGGTGCCCCCTCCTTCCAGGGCCCTTATTATTGTAAAGTTAGATATTTAGACATTCAAGAGGGGCCATATCAGATACAGAATAATTCCATTGGATGCGTAGGTTAAAATAAGCAATGGAATATATCAGCAGCTTCATGAGTTGGGCAGGGCAGGAAATATTTCCCCTGACCAGGTAGTTAGAAGATGGATGGGCTACTTCTAAGGTAGGGCAATAGGACACATGTCTCAAGAACATTTTTGGGGGAGCTAGAGGACTTTCTGCACCATTGCAAAACTTGTACTTGATTGAGTTGTGGAATTTGAGCGAAACAGGATGAAGATGTCTATGTTAGGGTTCCTGCAGTCTTGTGGTTGTGCAAGTAAGTTCTGTAGCTGGTAAACAAGTATTAACCATTGTAATTAAAGCTGGGGGCCTATTATAGGACCTTCCTATCACAATCTATATTCTCATGCAACTTGTACAAAATATAGATTAAGAATAATTAGATGACTGACTAAGTATGTATTACTAGGTGAATATAGTAAAATAATTTTTTACCCCTTATGAAATAATAATGAACACACTTATACTAATTAGAGTTTGAGTAGGAGTCCTCAAGGAATCAACTTTCTCATAGCAAAAGAAAGATTTAAACCTATGTCATTAACTCCAAAATCAGTGTTTTTTGCCTCTTTAGCTAATTGTCTTTGCTTTCAGACAATATCAGTAAATATTTATTAAACACCTACTGGCGGAAGCTAGGCCTGAAGTCAGGAAGACGACGCATATTCCTGAGTTCAAATGTGACCGCAGACACTTACTAGGTGTGTGACCCTGGGCAAATCACTTAATCCTTATTTGCCTCAGTTTTCTCATTTGTAAAATGAACTGGAGAAGGAAATAGCAAACCACTCCAGTATCTTTTCCAAGAAAACCCCAGAGGGGTGATAAAGAGTCAGGCATGACTGGAAAATGATCAAGGTGCCTGTTAAGGGCCAGGCATTGTGCTAAATGCTGGTGATACAAAAGAAAGGCAAAAGACAGTCTGGTAGCTTAAAGTCTGATGAGGGAGACATCATTTAAACAAATATATACAAAACAAGCTTATACAGGATAAGTATAGATTATGGTCTGTAGTGGGGTATAAGACACACGAAAAGAGAGCTTCATGAGGTTTAAAAGCAATAGGCTTTACAGTGGAGGTAACAGATTTGGTTTTTAGATGGATAGGAATTTAGCCAGTAAAGAAAGAAAACTATATTTAAGACATAGGAAAAAGTGTGAACAGAGGAACATACTGGAAAAAACAGAAATTACTGACGGTAGGGGAGAATGAAAGAAAGTAAAGTCAATTTATTTGGAGGATAGAGTACATGAAAAGGATTAATATGATATAGAAATGCAGAGTAGTATGATAGAGGGACTTGAATGCCAGGAAAAGGACTTTAAATTTTACTTGGCAGGTAGTAGAGAGTACAGATTGCATATTGGAATTTCTTCTGATTTTGCATGAGAGTGATAAATAGGTAGAATAAAGATAAATTAAACATAAATACTTTCTTATTTTTTGTGAAACTCTAAATGGGCATATACACTTATAAAGAATTTTAACCATTAAACCTAATCTTTACAGTTGTATTCTTATTATTTAAAATATGAATTGACAGCATTACCAAGTGGTCAGATAAATTTCAAAAGTTAGCTTCTTTATTTTTCATTGTTATTCATTTTTATACTTTCAAATTTTGGGTTCATTTTTAAAAGTTAATATTTCACTTAGTTTTAGATTTAGAAAAAATACCTGGTTTTTTTTTCTTTAATGATTCCATATTTAAAAATAAGACATTTAAGAAAATGATGAAAATATAGCTAAGTGTATATTGCTTAAATCATTCAGGCTTTCCTCAGTGGCAGACTCTTAGGATTGTAATACACTTTATAGATTTTATTATCGCTGTTCTGGCAACCTCATTGTTTTATAGCTCACACCCATTCATACACTTAGCTCTCAAGAAAAGACGTCAGTTTTCATAAATTATATCTAATTTTCTGTCTGTATGATACAGACATGTTATGCTGAAACAGCATCTTCAATTGATTACTAAGTAGACTGGCAAGTTTACTTTGGAATCCCTGTTAAGATAGTTTTAGTGTGGGCTATTGGCTTATGTGTGTAAATAATTTCATAAAAAGAATGTCATAATATTATTCATTAAAATGAGATTCTATTTATATTAAAAAAGTATTTTTGTAACTGTTTTGAATTGGGTCTAAAAATGCAACCACCACTTAAAAATTCTTCCTCTTTAGATTCTATTATATTTTTAATGCTTCCATTTTATCTTCCACAGTCATTTCCATCTCTTACCTGGTCAGTAACTCTTCAACTCTCTAATCATGAAAAATGTTTTCTTCCTTGATCCTCTGACTTGTTCATGATGTGACCTTTTATATCTAGATCAGTTATCCATTTAGAGCTTATTGTAGCGTATATATGCACATACACAGTTTGTTGAACATTTATGTTTTTTAAAATCTAAAGTAATTTTTAAAAATAATTTATTTTTAGTTTTCAGCATTCACTTCCATAAGATTTTGAGTTTTAAATTTTCTCTCCCTCTTTTTCCTCCTCGCCTTCCCCTGATGGCATGCAGTCTGATATGGGTTCTACTTATACATCATATTAAGCATATTTTCCCATTAGTAATGATGTAAAGAACAATTAGAACTAATGGGAAGAACCATGAGAATGAAGCAATGAAACAAAACAACACAGGAAAAGGACAGTAAATAGTATACTTCGTTTGCTTTCAGCCTTCATAGTTCTTTCTCTGGGTGTGGATAGCATTTTCCATCTTGAGACTTTTGGAGTTGTCTTAGATCTTTGCATTGTGAAGAAGACAAGTCTTATCAAAATCAGTCATCGCACCGTGTGGCTGTTACTATGTACCGTATTCTCCTGATTCTGCTCATTTTACTCAGCATCAGTTCATGTAAGTCTTTCCAGGTTTTTCTGAAGTCTGCCTGCTCATCATTTCTTATAGCACAATAGTGTTCCATTAAATTCATATACCATAACTTGTTCAGCCATTCCCCAATTGATGGGCATCCCCTCAATTTCCAGTTATTTGCTACTACAAAAAGAACTGCTATAAATATTTTTGTACATGTGGATGCTTTTCCCATTTTTATGATCTTTTTGGGACACAGCCCTAGAAGTGCTATTGCTGGGTCAAAGGGTATGCACATTTTTATAGCCCTTTGGGCATAGTTCCAAATTGCTCTCCAGAATGATTGGATCATTTCACAACTCCACCCACAGTGCATTAGAGTTCCAGTTTTCCCACATCTTCTCCAACATTTATCATTTTCCTGTCTTGAATACCTAACCTATTCCATTGATC